CCTGTGAGGTCTCAGTATGTGTCTTTCCTCCCTCAAAGCGTCTCTGTGTCTGGCACTATCCAACATCACTCAACTCGTGAGGTTTCAGCATGTAGCTATCCCCACGCAGCGCGTCTAGACTGTGTCTGGCAAACTCAACAACCAATCCATCTTTGAGGTGTCAGTATGCAGGTATCTTTACTCAACGCGTCTGGGTGTCCGGCAATCTCCAATACAAATCACCTGTGAGGTTCCGGTATGTGTCTTTCCTCACTCAACATGTCTATGTGTCCGGCACTATCCAACATCACTCAACTCGTGAGGTTTCAGTATGTAGCTATCCCCACTCAGCGCGTCTATGTGTCTGGCAAACTCAAAAACCAATGCATCTGTGAGGTTTCAGTATGCAGCTATCCTCACTCAACATGTCTGGGTGTCCGGAAATCTCCAATACAAATCACCTGAGGTTTCAGTATGTGTCTATCCTCACTCAACGCGTCTTTGTGTCCGGCACTTTCCAACATCACTCAACTCGTGAGGTTTCAGTATGTAGCTATCCCCACGCAGCGCGTCTAGACTGTGTCTGGCAAACTCAAAACCCAACCTATCTTCGAGGTTTCAGTATGCAGGAATCTTCACTCAACGCGTCTATGCGTCCGGCAATCTCCAATACAAATCACCTGTGAGGTTCTAGTATGTGTCTTTCCTCACTCAAAGCGTCTATGTGTCTGGCAAACTCAAAAACCAATCCATCTGTGAGGTTTCAGTATTCAGCTATCCCCACGCAGCGCGTCTATGTGTCTGGCAAACTCCAATGCAAATCACCTGTGAGGTTTCAGTATGTGTCTTTCCTCACTCAAAGCGCCTATGTGTCCGGCACTATCCAACATCACTCAACTCGTGAGGTTTCAGTATGCAGCTATTCCCACTCAACCGGCTTCAGTATACAGCTATAATCACTTGTGAGGTTTCAGTACACAGCTATAATCACTCAACAAGTCTTTGTGTCCGGCAATCTCCTACATCACTCAACCTGTGAGGTTTCCGTGAGCAATCCTCACTCCACTCATCCATGCGTCACGGGTCTTTGGTAGCGCATACTATGGGGGCTATATTTGGGGTGGCGTGTATTACAGCGCTTTGCCAACAGCGCCAACCCACTTATGTCTAGATTGCGGGGGGAAGGAGAGGGGGGCTTGATTTACAACGTCGTTGCCAAGCGACGAAAACCCAACCCCGATGGCAAGCACCGGGGGGGGGAGCGGGGGACGTAACAAAAAAAAATAGCACGAAAACATGCAAAACAAACCTCTGGCAGTTCAGACGCATCCGAATCGTCCTCTTCCGACTCGTCGTCGTCGTCATCGTCGCTTGAACCACCGCCGGCTCCATTGAGGTTCATTACCCCCTCCTCTTCCTCAGAACCATCCTGAGCGCACAAAAGAGGCACCCGCACGCATAACACATCGTCTTTTCACAGCAGTCACAACACACGCGAAAAAAATAAAAGGTGGCACCGACTCCGGCAAGAGCGGGCAGGGAGAGGCATCCAATCGAAGCGCGCATTGAAGACAGCGGAACAACCTTGAAATAGGAAAATTGTCGACCATCCAAGGTGAGTATCCACAAAACTACCAGCAGAGGCGGTAGCGAAGTATCAAACGCGTATCGACAACGTGTTATCTACATGTTCATGGGGACGTCAATAGGTGCGTTAGCCCCTGGCATCCCTGTCCCTCCTTTCCCCCTCGTCCACTCTGGTTCCTCAGCGTCACAATCTTCCCTTCGGGGGGCAACGGCGAAACATGGGCATCACCCACGGCGGCTTTTCTCGACGGGGAAACAAGTCCCCCCCCTCCCATACAAGTTAATTTTGTTGCCTTGGTGTTGCGTCCAGCACCAGCACCATTGTATGTGTCCATGCCACACTCCCGCCAATAGTGTTACCGTGAGGGGGGCTTTATTTAGTATACTCACGAACGAGCACTTTCTACACTACGAATCCTTAGGTACGGAATTGGTGGTGAAAACGTCTCGCTGAGGTTCAGACTCCCAACCTTGACGTCGGAAAGCTGTTGTTGTTACCCCATCGCACTGCCAGCGAGGGTGAAACGATCATCAATCCGTGCGGTATGCGAAAGGCAGTCACCACGCGTCCGTGCGGTACGGAATGTTCGGAACGTCTAACACTGCTCCTGCAACGTTAACCTTGACCCCAACGAGCGGAAAACCGACCCCCCGGCTACCTAAAAAACTTTTACCAGGTCGTCGGAGTCGCTGCTGCTGTCCCCAGCCCCGCCGCCGAACTTGATTTTATCCTGCTGCATGTGGAAGCGGTCGACATCCGTGTAGAGCTCTTCGTTCTCCGGGTTGCCTTAGCGACGGACGTCACGCGCGGTACATATGGGTCAATCCACGTGTAATAGCCAGAGGGAGGGAGAACAGAGGAGTAGAACAGAGGTTTGATCAGACGGGGAATAACAAAAGGTGACAGAAGAAGCAAGCGACGGTTCGAGAGTCCGTGGCTGGTCGTCACACCACAGGTGGTGATGGTCGATGAGAACGTCGTGGTGAAACAGGTTAGGCAGTCCACGCACCAGTACCGGCCACGGCGCGGCATGAAATCCACCAAAGAAGGAGCCATGGCCACAACTCTCTTTCTTTCTCTCTCCCGTGTGGTAGGAACAGGGAAGGCAGCACCCGCACAACCTCGCCACATCCCAAGAAACGACGTTGATTTTGTGAGACAAGTTAACATACGACAGTACTGGTACAGTGGCGGCTACAGTTTAGGAGAGAATGTTCAAGAGAAGGTACCGATGGTACCGATTAAAGAGCGTCGAGCTGGCTTGTCACGACCATGAGAGATACATACATTTTACAGTACGGTATACGAGAAAACCGGGAGTTCAGAGAGAAGTACTGGCCTATGCCGACCTTCTCTTAGGCCGTCTATTAACGAAGTGCCAAAATCATAATCTAAATGGGGACAATCTCAAAATCAAAATGCGTTTCGTGGAAAGCTGAAAAAAGAGGGTCGTGTATGTTAACGAGGACAGCAAACAGATGAGGCAAAAATCAAGAGACCTGGCGCCAGGGAAAGAGCCAGCAGCGAAGCGGTGACTTTTCTGGGAAGGGTTTTGCGCTCTTCTGTTCACGTGTTAGCCGATATCTCGCCAAGTACTTACAGCAGTGTTGCCTCAAGATTGGTTTCCGGAAGAAGCTGGTAACATGGGCTGTTGGGCAATGCCAAGGATTGGCGCCCATAGGCGCCGAATGCGCCGGAAAAGAAGGGTTGCGTTGAAGCAAAGATGCCAACGGTTGCGAGCGGTCAAGCAAAGTCACGCAACGGGAGGTACCTCTCTGCTCCATCCTTCAAGCCCAAGGTCTGCTACCGTGGGGTGTCGTGCGTATAGGGAAAAATGTTTTGGTTGACCCTAAGATATCCACGTCAGAGAGCGAATACTTCGAGTACGCGCCGAATGTCTGTTCACAGTTAGGTTTTTCAGCGATAACTCTTCGAACGAGGAAGCAACAGCATTAGCAATGAAATGCGACGGGAGGTAGCTCTACCCACCATCTTTCTCGTGCAAGGCTAGATGCCTTGGGGTATCGTGTGTGTGGAGAAAAAAGGTTGCAACTACCCTCTCCAGCACGGAACAGCCCGAAAAAGCCGCGCAGCTCTGTTCTGATCGTCAGTACATTCACCACTTGTCACGATCGGCTTTTTCTGCTTGAGCACCCAACAAGCCGGCCCGGTTTTTCGCTTGCCGGCTAGCAGAGTCTTCTGGCTACAAATAGCGGCCATGGTGTCGGTGGTAGGGTGCCGATAGCCCTTCAATGAGCAGTGTACAGCAGGTCGTGTCGTACATTTGCTTTGCAGCGGCCTCGCGGCAGGTGCTCGAAGCCTTTGAAGTCTTGAACTTCTTGCCTCTTTGATTTTGATAAAAAAAAGTCCCCCGGGGACTTCTTCCAAGACAGCAGAACTTCCATCAAACCAAAGGGCGTCGCCAGGAGGTACCGGATATTCGACCAATCAGATCTCGACTTTGATTTTGATTTTTTTTATATTGATCTTGGAACTTCGTCAATAAAAAGCCTTACACCGTAGGCTCCACTGTACCAAGATATGTTGCTTGACAGGCGATTTTCCAAAAGCTGTCTCGATGGCTGGACAACTAAACGGTTGCCGAAGTCGAACGATACGCCATGGAAACAGCAGTTTTCGTGATACGTTTCAGATGTCGTCACTCTTGCTATCAGTTGGGTGGGGCTGTGGGCTGTCGAGCGCGAGATATATGTACCAGGGATAAAATAGTACCTCCAGCGGCGCTATGCGCTAGGCATGTCGGCGGCCGCCGCAGGCGCCGTAAGCCCTCCGCAGGAGCCGCCGGAGGCCCTCACCGGAGGGGCCCCCGGAGGAGAACTTGTATGGTATTGTGTGCTTAATCGCTTGACTCTAAGCTAAATTTGAGGTGCATCCGACCGGCTTTTTCCGGTCTTCATCGAGCTATGTATGTGCTGTACGTGCTAGGAAAGGTCGTGCTGGTTGCTAATAATGCCCTCGCTTAGCGACCGGTGCACATGCTCGGGTAACTTCCTCACCCCAGCGTCCTTACGAACTAAACTTGTGCGCAGTTGAAAAAATATCCTACTACTTCGTACTTACGTTGCAAGACTTACACCAGAAAAGTAAAGAATCCAAGTAGCAGCCAGTCCCTCCATCAGCACCAGCTGATCCGCAACATAAAATGCGCACGTGTAACGTGTAACACCTTCTTGTGGCCCACCGCATGCCATGCCCACGACGTACAACAAACAAACCGCAGAACGCGCAGTACATGCCCATAAACCACAAGTTCAAGGCGTACACACCGTCGTCAATACATAACCGCAACAACATATTGCACCCATGGCGACCACGAGCGGAAGTAGACCAGCCAATCGTCGCTGAGATTTTGTATGGAATGTGTGGGTATGACATGTGTCTTTCCTTTAGAAAGCAAACATAGCTTCGCAGAAAGGCTACCCGTTCGAGATATAACCTCAGTCGAAAGGGATGTGGTGAAGTCTTTTCAGGAAGTGCATTGAAACGAACTGGAGACTTGGCTCATTTTGAGTTTGTGTAAGCCTGACACTGAGTTATCAGTAACGCCAGTTGGAGCTAAGAACAAAAGCATCTGTATAGGTGTCTTGTTCGTGGTTTCGTATGTAAAAGTTTCGTGGATGTTTTCGCAGAAGGTTGTTGGTGGGGCGTAGGGGGAGCGTACTCCTATGTTTTGCATGCCTTAGCGGTTAGACCATTGACCACGCGTCCTCGAGAGGACGGAGCATTGTTCCCATAGGACCGATCACCGATGGCCAATCGTCCCTTTCTACTTTGCCAAAGGTGGCTCCAGAATGTCTTCCCTAGTCTGTCTATCCTAACGATATCTCTTCCCGCCTTTTCAACCCACCTCCTATGCCCCAGTACAGCTACCGTCCTTTCCTCTCTATTCCATGCCTCAAACATCTCCCTGTACGTCCTATCTATTTTTCCCANTTTGGATTCTGTTCTCTCTCGGCACAAGCAACAGATATCTTCTCCTTGAACTC